GTGGAACTCTCTGCCATGGAGTGTGGTGGGGGCTCCTTCTTTAGAGACTTTCAAGCAGAGGCTGGATGGCCATCTGTCAGGGGCGATTTGAATGTAATATTGAAGAATGGCTTCAAACTACAAGAAAGAAAGGAGATTCCACCTGAACATGAGGAAGAACTTCCTGACTGGGAGGGCTGTTCAGCAGTGGAACTCTCTGCTGTGGAGTGTGGTGGGGGCTCCTTCTTTGGAGGCTTTCAAGCAGAGGCTGGATGGCCATCTGTCAGGGGCGATTTGAATGTAATACTGAAGAATGGCTTCAAACTACAAGAAAGAAAGGAGATTCCACCTGAACATGAGGAAGAACTTCCTGACTGGGAGGGCTGTTCAGCAGTGGAACTCTCTGCTGTGGAGTGTGGTGGGGGCTCCTTCTTTTGGAGGCTTTCAAACAGAGGCTGGATGGCCATCTGTCAAGGGTGATTTGAATGCAATTCTTGCTTCTTGGCAGAATGGGGTTGGACTGGATGGCCCATGGAGGTCTCTTCCAACTCTTTGATTCTACAGGAAAGGAGATTCCACCTGAACATGGGGAAGAACTTCCTGACTGTGAGAGCTGTTCAGCAGTGGAACTCTCTGCTCTGGAGTGTGGTAGGAAGAACTTCCTGACTGGGAGAGCTGTTCAGCAGTGGAACTCTCTGCTCTGGAGTGTGGGAGGAAGAACTTCCTGACTGGGAAAGCTGTTCAGCAGTGGAACTCTCTGCTCTGGAGTGTGGGAGGAAGAACTTCCTGACTGGGAAAGCTGTTCAGCAGTGGAACTCTCTGCTCTGGAGTGTGGGAGGAAGAACTTCCTGACTGGGAGAGCTGTTCAGCAGTGGAACTCTCTGCTCTGGAGTGTGGGAGGAAGAACTTCCTGACTGGGAGAGCTGTTCAGCAGTGGAACTCTCTGCCACAGAGTGTGGTGGAGGCTCCTTCTTTGGCAGCTTTTAAACAGAGGCTGGATGGCCATCTGTCAGGGGTGACTTGAATGTAATATTCCTGCTTCTTGGCAGAATGGGATTCGACTGGATGGCCCAGGAGGTCTCTTCCAACTCTTTGATTCTACAGGAAAGGAGATTCCACCTGAACATGGGGAAGAACTTCCTGACTGTGAGAGCTGTTCAGCAGTGGAACTCTCTGCTCTGGAGTGTGGGAGGAAGAACTTCCTGACTGGGAAAGCTGTTCAGCAGTGGAACTCTCTGCTCTGGAGTGTGGGAGGAAGAACTTCCTGACTGGGAAAGCTGTTCAGCAGTGGAACTCTCTGCCACAGAGTGTGGTGGAGGCTCCTTCTTTGGCAGCTTTTAAACAGAGGCTGGATGGCCATCTGTCAGGGGTGATTTGAATGTAATATTCCTGCTTCTTGGCAGAATGGGGTTCGACTGGATGGCCCATGAGGTCTCTTCCAACTCTAGGATTCTAGAGTGTGGGAGGAAGAACTTCCTGACTGGGAGAGCTGTTCAGCAGTGGAACTCTCTGCCACAGAGTGTGGTGGGGGCTCCTTCTTTAGAGACTTTCAAGCAGAGGCTGGATGGCCATCTGTCAGGGGCGATTTGAATGTAATATTGAAGAATGGCTTCAAACTACAAGAAAGAAAGGAGATTCCATCTGAACATGAGGAAGAACTTCCTGACTGGGAGGGCTGTTCAGCAGTGGAACTCTCTGCTGTGGAGTGTGGTGGGGGCTCCTTCTTTGGAGGCTTTCAAGCAGAGGCTGGATGGCCATCTGTCAGGGGCGATTTGAATGTAATATTGAAGAATGGCTTCAAACTACAAGAAAGAAAGGAGATTCCATCTGAACATGAGGAAGAACTTCCTGACTGGGAGGGCTGTTCAGCAGTGGAACTCTCTGCTGTGGAGTGTGGTGGGGGCTCCTTCTTTTGGAGGCTTTCAAACAGAGGCTGGATGGCCATCTGTCAGGGGTGATTTGAATACAATATTCTTGCTTCTTGGCTGAATGGGGTTGGACTGGATGAAGGCCCAGGAGGTCTCTTCCAACTCTAGGATTCTACAAGAAAGGAGATTCCACCTGAACATGAGGAAGAACTTCCTGACTGGGAAAGCTGTTCAGCAGTGGAACTCTCTGCTCTGGAGTGTGGAAGGAAGAACTTCCTCACTGGGAAAGCTGTTCAGCAGTGGAACTCTCTGCTCTGGAGTGTGGGAGGAAGAACTTCCTGACTGGGAGAGATGTTCAGCAGTGGAACTCTCTGCTCTGGAGTGTGGGAGGAAGAACTTCCTGACTGGGAAAGCTGTTCAGCAGGAAAGGAGATTCCACCTAACATGAGGAAGAACTTCCTGACTGTGAGAGAGAGCTGTTCAGCAGCGGAACTCTCTCTCTGCCACAGAGTGTGGTGGGGGCTCCTTCTTTGGAGGCTTTTAAACAGAGGATGGATGGCCATCTGTCAGGGGTGCATTTGAATGTAATATTCCTGCTTCTTGGCAGAATGGGGTTCGACTGGATGGCCCAGGAGGTCTCTTCCAACTCTTTGATTCTACAGGAAAGGAGATTCCACCTGAACATGGGGAAGAACTTCCTGACTGGGAAAGCTGTTCAGCAGTGGAACTCTCTGCTCTGGAGTGTGGAAGGAAGAACTTCCTCACTGGGAAAGCTGTTCAGCAGTGGAACTCTCTGCTCTGGAGTGTGGGAGGAAGAACTTCCTGACTGGGAGAGATGTTCAGCAGTGGAACTCTCTGCTCTGGAGTGTGGGAGGAAGAACTTCCTGACTGGGAAAGCTGTTCAGCAGTGGAACTCTCTGCTCTGGAGTGTGGGAGGAAGAACTTCCTGACTGGGAGAGCTGTTCAGCAGTGGAACTCTCTGCTCTGGAGTGTGGGAGGAAGAACTTCCTGACTGGGAGAGCTGTTCAGCAGTGGAACTCTCTGCCACAGAGTGTGGTGGAGGCTCCTTCTTTGGCAGCTTTTAAACAGAGGCTGGATGGCCATCTGTCAGGGGTGACTTGAATGTAATATTCCTGCTTCTTGGCAGAATGGGGTTCGACTGGATGGCCCAGGAGGTCTCTTCCAACTCTTTGATTCTACAGGAAAGGAGATTCCACCTGAACATGGGGAAGAACTTCCTGACTGGGAGAGCTGTTCAGCAGTGGAACTCTCTGCTCTGGAGTGTGGGAGGAAGAACTTCCTGACTGGGAAAGCTGTTCAGCAGTGGAACTCTCTGCTCTGGAGTGTGGGAGGAAGAACTTCCTGACTGGGAAAGCTGTTCAGCAGTGGAACTCTCTGCCACAGAGTGTGGTGGAGGCTCCTTCTTTGGCAGCTTTTAAACAGAGGCTGGATGGCCATCTATCAGGGGTGATTTGAATGTAATATTCCTGCTTCTTGGCAGAATGGGGTTCGACTGGATGGCCCAGGAGGTCTCTTCCAACTCTTTGATTCTACAGGAAAGGAGATTCCACCTGAACATGGGGAAGAACTTCCTGACTGTGAGAGCTGTTCAGCAGTGGAACTCTCTGCCACAGAGTGTGGTGGGGGCTCCTTCTTTAGAGACTTTCAAGCAGAGGCTGGATGGCCATCTGTCAGGGGCGATTTGAATGTAATATTGAAGAATGGCTTCAAACTACAAGAAAGAAAGGAGATTCCATCTGAACATGAGGAAGAACTTCCTGACTGGGAGGGCTGTTCAGCAGTGGAACTCTCTGCTGTGGAGTGTGGTGGGGGCTCCTTCTTTGGAGGCTTTCAAGCAGAGGCTGGATGGCCATCTGTCCCTGGAGACTAGGATGCAATGGAGCAATGGCTTCAAACTACAAGAAAGAAAGGAGATTCCATCTGAACATGAGGAAGAACTTCCTGACTGTGAGAGCTGTTCAGCAGTGGAACTCTCTGCCCTGGAGTGTGGTGGAGGCTCCTTCTTTGGAGGCTTTCAAACAGAGGCTGGATGGCCATCTGTCAGGGGTGATTTGAATGCAATATTCATGCTTCTTGGCAGGGGTTGGACTGGATGGCCCAGGAGGTCTCTTCCAACTATATGATTCTACAAGAAAGGAGATTCCACCTGAACATGAGGAAGAACTTCCTGACTGGGAAAGCTGTTCAGCAGTGGAACTCTCTGCTCTGGAGTGTGGAAGGAAGAACTTCCTCACTGGGAAAGCTGTTCAGCAGTGGAACTCTCTGCTCTGGAGTGTGGGAGGAAGAACTTCCTGACTGGGAGAGCTGTTCAGCAGTGGAACTCTCTGCTCTGGAGTGTGGGAGGAAGAACTTCCTGACTGGGAGAGCTGTTCAGCAGTGGAACTCTCTGCTCTGGAGTGTGGGAGGAAGAACTTCCTGACTGGGAGAGCTGTTCAGCAGTGGAACTCTCTGCCACAGAGTGTGGTGGAGGCTCCTTCTTTGGCAGCTTTTAAACAGAGGCTGGATGGCCATCTGTCAGGGGTGACTTGAATGTAATATTCCTGCTTCTTGGCAGAATGGGGTTCGACTGGATGGCCCAGGAGGTCTCTTCCAACTCTTTGATTCTACAGGAAAGGAGATTCCACCTGAACATGGGGAAGAACTTCCTGACTGTGAGAGCTGTTCAGCAGTGGAACTCTCTGCTCTGGAGTGTGGGAGGAAGAACTTCCTGACTGGGAAAGCTGTTCAGCAGTGGAACTCTCTGCTCTGAACATGAGGAAGAACTTCCTGACTGTGAGAGCCGTTCAGCAGTGGAACTCTCTGCCCCGGAGTGTGGTGGAGGCTCCTTCTTTGGCAGCTTTTAAACAGAGGCTGGATGGCCATCTGTCAGGGGTGATTTGAATGTAATATTCCTGCTTCTTGGCAGAATGGGGTTCGACTGGATGGCCCATGAGGTCTCTTCCAACTCTAGGATTCTACAGGAAAGGAGATTCCACCTGAACATGGGGAAGAACTTCCTGACTAGGGGAGCTGTTCAGCAGTGGAACTCTCTGCCTCGGAGTGTTGTGTAAAGCGCGTTCCTTGGAGCAACACCCACTCTGAGGAGGCCGGAAGCGGAAGGGGCGGAGCCGCGCGAGGTGGGGGCGGGGCTTGTGTTGCTTGTGCTGCTGCTTGTGCTGCTGCTGCTCTTTGGGCCTGCAGGCGCTGCCGGAGCCCCGGGCTGGCGTGAGCGAGGCCCCCGAGGGAGAGAGCAGCCATGGCGGCGCCTCCAGCCGCAGCAGCAGTAGGAGCCTCCTCCTCCTCGTCAGCGATGGCGGAGACGAAGATCATCTACCACCTGGACGAGCAGGAGACGCCGTACCTGGTGAAGGTGGCCATCCCGGCCGAGCGGGTCACGCTGGGAGACTTCAAGGCCCTCCTCAACCGGCCCAGCTACAAGTTCTACTTCAAGTCCATGGACGACGACTTCGGGTGAGGCGCCCAGCCAGGCCTTCCTCCTATCCATTGGCTTTTGTGGTCTGTCTGTCTCTCTCCCGCAAGGAGATAATCTGGGTTATATGGCAGTGTAGACGGAGGTTTCCTCCCTCAAGAGGACAATGGACCTACGCCAAAGAAATAGTAGAATGTAATACTATATATTATATATATATGTAATATAATATAAAAAGAATATAATGTAATATGATAAATTGTATACACATATAATAGAATGTAATATAATATATTTTATGTACATAATATAATATAAAAAGAATATAATAATATAATTGATGTAATAAATTGTATATACATATAATATGATATAAAAATAATATAATATATTGTATACACATAATATAATATAATGTGATATAAATGGTATATACATATAATATAATGTAATATAATATAATGTGATATAATAAATTGTATATACATATAATATAAAGTAATATAATGTAATATCATATATTGAATATACATATAATATAATATAAAAATAATATAATGTAATATAATATATTGTATACACATAATATAATATATATTGTATATACATGTAATATAATATAAAAATAATATAATGTGATTTAATAAATTGTATATACATATCATAGAATAATAGAATCATAGAATCAAAGAGTTGGAAGAGACCTCATGGGCCATCCAGTCCAACCCCCAGCCAAGAAGCAGGAATATTGCATTCAAATCACCCCTGACAAATGGCCATCCAGCCTCTGCTTAAAAGCTTCCAAAGAAGGAGCCTCACACCAAACTTCGGGGCAGAGAGTTCCACTGCTGAACAGCTCTCACAGTCAGGAAGTTCTTCCTCATGTTCAGATGGAATCTCTCTTGTAGTTTGAAGCCATTGTTCCGCATCCTAGTCTCCAAGGAAGCAGAAAACAAGCTTGCTCCCTCCTCCCATAATGTAGTATAATATATTGTATATACATATAATATAACATAAAATAATATAATGTAGTATAATATATTGTATGTACATAATATAATATAAAAAGAATATAATGTAACATAAAAATATAACAATATAATAAATATAATAAATTGTATATACATATAATATAAAGTAATATAATGTAATATAATAAATGGTATATACATATAATATAATATAAAGTAATATAATGTATTATAATATATTGTATCTACATATAATATAATATAAAATAATATAATGTAATGTATTATATTGTATATACATATAATATAATATGTAATATTTTTATTGTATACACATATACAATAAAATATACATATACATGTATTGTATACACATATAATGTAATATAATAAATTGTATATACATATAATATAATATATTGTATGTACATATAATATAATATAAAAATAATATAATATCATATAATGTAATATAATATATTGTATATGCATATAAACTAATGTAATATAATATATTGTATATACATATAATATAATATATTGTAGATACATATAATATAATGTAATAATATAATGTAATATATTGTATATACATATGATATTTATAATATTATAATGTAATATAAATATATATATATACACACACACACACACACACACACACACAATGTTCACTTGTGGGATTAACATAATTCAAAAACCACTGGACGAATTGACACGAAATTTGGATACAATACATCTAACAGTCCAACGAGTGTCCATCACCCTAAAAATACACACACTCACACACAAAATCCCAGCAGAACAGACTTAAACCCCCCCAAAATACTCAATATATACATATACACATACACTCATATACATACACATATGCACACATTCATATACACACACGTATATATATGCACAAACACACACAAATATACACATATACACACATACATATACATACACATACACACAATTATGCTTATAGACAAGCACACACATATACACAATGTGCATGTACACATATAAACACACAAATACACAAATATATACAGACACATACACACACATATATATATGAATATACATATATATATATATATATGAACACATAAATATACACATAAACACATATAAATATATACAGACATATACACACACACACACACACACATATATATATATATATATATGAATATACTTATATATATGAACACACAAATACACACACACACACATAAACACATATATACACACACAAAACACATATACACAGACTGGGCCACAGCAACGTGTGGCAGGGGATGGCTAGTTCTACTAATAATGATATTATAATTATATATTTCATATGACATGTAATATTACAATATAATGGTATAGTACAATGTAGTAATATATACTGATATTGAACTATGCTAATAATATAATATATTGTATATATATATATATCTTGTAAGCCACTCTGCGTCCCCTTCGAGGTGAGAAGGGTGACATATAAATGTCATAAATAAATAAATAAAGGCGTTAACCAGGCATGTGCAAACTTCAGCCCTCCAGGTATGTTGGACTTCAACTCCCACAATTCCTAGCAGCCTCAGACCCCTGGGGGGGGAAGGAAAGGGCCTGTGCCTGCTAGGAATTGTGGGAGTTGAAGTCCAAAACACCTGGAGGGCCCAAGTTTGCCCATGCTTCGGGGCAGCTAACATGAGGACAAGCCCAAACAAATTACAATAAAGCAAAAATACATATAAACAAAACAATAACATCAAATAAAATACTTAATAAAAACATAGTAATGAAATGAAAATAACAAAATCCTAATAAAAACAAATAATAAAATGGTAATAGACTTAGACAAAGAGAGCGAGGCCCATGGATAAAAATAGATAGGATTTGATAACAGTCATGGGTGAGATAGGTAGAGAATGCTATGATAATAAACAAAAGAGCATTGAAGGGATTTGAAACTCTTTTATACTCTAGATCAAAAAGAGGCATGTACATATGTCTATGTGTGTGTGTGTGTACACTCACACATATATACTCACAGACATATATGTATGTAGTTTAGACTAAAAATACATATGAGGACCCCTTAGATTCTTTATTAGCAGTTTACCATTCTGAGCACACACATATACACATGTTTAGACTCTCTAATAATACAGATGAGGAACTTTAGATTCTTTATTAGCACTTTACAGTTCTGAGTACACATGTTTAGACTCTCTAATAATGCATATGAGGACCGTTAGATTCTTTATTAGCACTTTACAATTCTAAGATCAAATGCTGCTGTTTTATCTACAGCAATTGCTGTATTTTATAGTTTTTACCAAGGAGTACTGTGAATTTATGATGTTGTGTTGTCTGTTTATTGTGTATGTTTTGTTTTTCACTTCTCGTATTTTGCATGTCACACCCTTAGTGTTCTGTGAGCCGCCCCAAGTCCCTCTAAATGATAATAAGAGATGGTGGCAGGGTAGAAATAAAGTTATTATTATTATTACACAAATATACATACGGGGACATATATGTACACACATATATTTGTACACACATATGAATAAAGTTCAGCACCTGGTGGTGCAATGGGTTAAACCAGTAATGAGCAAACTTTGGCCCTCAAGGCATTTTGGGATTCAACTCCCACAATTCCTAACAGCCTACTGTGTCTAAAATTGAAATGTGTGGTATCTGCTGGGCTTTGGTTCCAGGAGCTGCCATGGACACCTTAATCCATGAATGTTCAAATTCTACACAACGGTATAATAAAATGGTGGCCCTTATATCCAATGCCAAAATCAAGGTTTGCTTTTGGGTTTTTTAAAAAAGAAAATAATATTATTTTCAAACAATCCATGGTGAAATTCATTTATTCAGAATCTGTGGATACAAATGGCTGACTGTATCTCTAAAGAGAAGTAATTAAGATAATTGTATTGTCGAAGGCTTTCATGGCTGGAATCAATGGGTTGTTGTAGATTTTTTCGGGCTATATGGCCATGTTCTAGAGGCATTCTCTCTTGACGTTTCGCCTGCATCTATGGCAAGCATCCTCAGAGGTAGCAAGGATGCTTGCCATAGATGCAGGTGAAACGTCAAGAGAGAATTCCTCTAGAACATGGCCATATAGCCCGAAAAAACCTACAACAACCCAATTATGTTAATTTCCCATGCAATTCTTTTTTGTGAGGTGGGGGAGTAAGACAACATCCAGGCAAAGCTTTGTCTCAACCTCCAAATGTTCTAAATATGAAAGGAGTCTTAAAAGATCCTGTTGAGTAGGAAGAGATTTTGAAAGCCAATCAAGTCAGTTCAATAATATAAGATACCACCCACTTATCCCTTGATGCAGGTTGAATACTCCTTATCTGGAAATCCAAAACTGTCCACATAAACAGGTGAAATAGTGACACCTTTGCTATCTGATGGTTCAGTTCACACAAACTTTGTCTCCCACACAAAATGATTAAAAACATTGGATATAAAAATACCTGAGGCTGTGTGTATAAGGTGTTTGTGAAACATAATTGAATTTCGTGTTTAGACTTGGGCTCTTACCCATTGTGTATATGCAAATAATACAAACTCTGGAGGAAAAAAATCCAAAACACTTCTGGTTCCAAGCATTTCAGCTTAAGCAGGCATCCTCAAACTGCGGCCCTCCAGCTGTTTTGGTCTCCAACCGCCAGAATTCCCACACATTGAGCAAGCTGGCTAGGGCTTCTGGGAGTTGGAGGCCCAAACAGCTGGAGGGCCGCAGTTTGAGGATGCTTGAGCTAAAGAATACTGACTCTGTGCCAATCATCTACCCTGTCTGTACATCCCAGCATAGCCCTTCCAGCAAGGCTCCTTTCCTTTTTTAAATTTCTTTGCAGTTAAACCTTATTTCCCCCCTCTCTTTCAAAGCTTTCCTATCTGTATCCTCCAAAGCCAGTTGACTTTTGTATGCAAAAGATCCCAGGCTCAGCAATAGAAAGAGAACTGCTGTCAGCCAGGGAAGTCCAAGAATTGGAAACTCGTGGCCTGATGTTGGGTTACAGCCCACGTTGGATTCATGGGATTTGATGAGTCTTAAC